CACAGAACAAATGTATATTTCTTTAAACCTTTTTCTCTTTATTACTATATACAGTCTTAAAAAATAGTTTAAAATAGATACTCCATGTGTATGTAATGGTGGGTTACTACTCCATGTATGTAATGGTGGGTTACTACTCCATGTATGTAATGGTGGGCTACTACTCCATGTATGTAATAGTGGGCTACTACTCCATGTATGTAATGGTGGGCTACTACTCCATGTATGTAATGGTGGGCTACTACTCCATGTATGTAATGGTGGGTTACTACTCATACAAATAAAAAAGATTAGCCTCCTATAGAATAATTACTATGACTAACACACATACACAGAAAGCCTTACGCTATCCACATCCAGCATACGTATCATATAGGTAACTTATATACCCTATCTATAGAGTGATTCACACTTGGCTGATAAGATGAATGCTTTGGATGTTTTGTATGTGTCCTAGTCGGCTTCTTCAGGAGTAATCTAAGGCTGTGATCTGCTGTTCATATTAGACATAAGCCAGTTATTGAGGGGTGTCTGCCTGGTGGGCACAGCCAAGGCCAACGAAGAAAGCCCACCACCCGGTGAATCTTAAACACAAATCTCCTACAGGTCACCCATAAAGAATTCCCTGTTAGGTATCACACAGAGCATGTTTGGTTGGCTAGGGATTCTTAGCCCTGGTTCACACCTAGGCGTATTGCATATGCGCGTCTGTCGCGCGGTTTTCTTACCGCGATTCGCGCTAAAAAAATTGCGCGACAAACGCGCGTTTCCGAGGGCTACTTGGCTGTATCCCAATGGAAACGCGCAACAAAAACGGCCCAAAGTAGTACCTGTACCTTTTCAGGCGTGGGCCGTTTTGTAGCGCGTTAGGGACGGGCTGAAATACGCCGAGGTGTGAACCGGACCCATTGAATACAATGGGATTTAGATGTTTGAGCGTTTTGTAGAGCGTTCGTCGAGCGTAGAACTCGCTACAAAACGTTCAGGTGTGAACGAGGGCTTAGTCGTTGGCGGTATAGTAAGTGGTGTGGAGAGCAAGAGCCCACTTCCTCTCCCACCAGCAAATGTGGTGGCAAAAAGAGCTTCCATGAGTGATTTAGATGTAGGATATGCTGTCCCGTGGCTTGTTATGGTGCTGTGATTATTCATGTGTATCTTTCTATTGTGTCCGATATCCCCGCAGTGAGTGTAACAGCAATCGTGATTCGGTCCTGTCGTACACCAGCGTGCGCAGCAACAGCTCGTACCTGGGGAGTGATGAAATGGGCTCAGGTAAGACTCATTCTATGGTCCCCCTCATGTTATAGAAGGTTCAAATGGAGTCTAAAGCAGCGGTCGCCAACCTTTCGGACCTCACGGACCACTAAATTCATCATTTTAAATCCCGCGGACCACTAATATTATTTTTTTTTAAAAAAGATAAATTCATTTGTAAAAGAATGATCAGAGAACTTCCATTTTATTATTATGGACTGCAACTATTTAATTATAACAAAATTATAAATGCTTTACGGCTATGATGAGGAGCACGCCGCTTCTCGGATCACTGAGAGCCGCGCATTCCTTGAGACAGTCGCGTCAGAGGGGCCCGGGGGGGCAATTGCCCCCTGGCCCAGTCTGTCCCCTGGTTGAAACAATATTGAAGAGTACAGCTCGGCAATGGTTGCCTCATTATTATTATACAGGATGTATATGGCGCTATATACAGTGTGCGCAGCGCTTTACGCTATAAGGAAGACATTACAATTGCAATACAATTCAAGACAAGATGGTAAGGAGGGCCCTGCCCCTGGGGGGTTACAATCTAAAAGAGGAGGGGTAAGTGATACATGAGGAGGGAGCTGTGTGGGGATGAATGGTTGAGTGGTTAGGTTGAGGTGGGATCGGCTTCCCTGAAGAAATGAGTCTTTAGGGAACGCCTAAAGGCAGTTAAGATGGGAGATAGACAGGTTGGGGTAAAGAGTTCCAGAGGATGGGAGAGACTCTAGAGAAGTCCTGGAGGCGAGTATGGGATGAGTTGACAAGGGAGCTGGAAAGCAGGAGCCTCATACAACTTAATACTACCTTGACGCCACGTTTCGCCTCTCGTTTCCCCCTCTCTAGTACAGTTTGTGCATTTAGTGGTTACAAATTGTCACTCAGAATATGAGAATTTCTCAGAATATTATTTTTGTTTAATTATTAATAAAACATTAAAAAAATGCAAACAATGTCCAGATTTTTCCGCTGACCACCACAATTTTCTCGCGCACCACCGGTTGGCGACCGCTGGTCTAAAGGATCAGTAGAGGTGAGATAGAAGTGGCCTCTGTGTAGAAGAGCCTGACGTTCCGTGTATGTCCGGTACAATA